GGGGGGGAGGTCTGGGGGGGCGGGGGGGGGGCCCCCCTCTCCGAGTCCTTCCTCAGGAGGTCGTCTTAAAACGGAGCCCGGGGGGCAGAGGCTGGCAACGCAGTCCGGGCCCAGGGGTTCGGCTGGCCCGGCCGAGTCCCCCGCTGGCCGGGGGGCGTCCTCACCACCTGAGCGAGCCCCGGAAGGTGACGAGAAAGTCTCTGCCATGGGAAGTCCTGCTGCTGAGGTGACCTCAATGGTGACGGACCCCATAGGGGCTTCCGCCCGGTCACCGCTCACCAGGATCCGCGTCGTGACGCTCGAAGCGACCGCTGCATCCTGGAGGGTTCCACTGCCGGCCGCTTCCGAAGCCATGCTGGGGGGCTCCAGGAGGGTGCCCCCTAAGTTGGACAGGAAGGACGCCTCCGTGATGACGGCAGCCGTCTCTGCCACCCAGTTCAAGTCACTGCCCAGGGCGGCGGCGGCGGCGGCAACAGCAGGGCCCTCCCCGGACGCCAGGGAGCCTTCTCTGGCAGGCAGGGCATCCAGGTGGGGCCGAGGGTCGGTGGGGGCAATGGTAGTGTTGTTGTTGAGGTTGTCCTGGAGAGTGGTCTGAGCCCCGACCTGTTGATTCTGGAGAAGCATCTCCTGAATCCGGATCTGCTGAAGGATGGCCGGCAGCTCGTAGTGGTGGAAGAAGTAGATCATCGAATGCTGTGGGGCAAACGTGGGAACAGAGAGACCGAGGTCAAGGCTCGGCACGCGCTAAATTTGAACACAAATCTGCCAAAATGTGGAAGGCTCGTCTTAATCAAGACAGAACCGGAGACAGTAAAAAGGGATTTTTTTAAAAAAAGAGAGAAACAGGTTTGTGCGATGAAGCAGAAAACTGATCTGTGTCTTGATTTGGGCAGCACCTCCTTTTAACAACGCTGTGAGGTAGGCCAAGAGCTTAATGGAAGTTACATATTTTTTTTTGGATCATAAGCTCCCAACAGAGTCTGTCGGTCGAGACGGGGCGGCTGCCATCTTCAGCCGGCTCCCTAAAAATTCACTTTAAAAAGAGACAGCTTAGAAAAAAACAACTCAAACACGGGAGAGGACGCGGTCGGAACGGAAGCAGCCTTACCTGTATGAAAAGCCACGAGGTGACGAGAGCGAGGCTGCTGTACTGCCCGTTGAAGCGGTAGTGGTAAGCGTAAAACGCAAAGTGATACAGGTAGAAGAACCTGGAAAATAGGCAGCAGGTCATGAGCATGCAAAATATATTTACGACAGTTCTCATTCTGGAGCCCCGAAGTGGCTTCTTGAACCTCCCCCCTCTGTTGATTCAGCTTTAGGGTGAAATAAGCAGGAGCGGACGAGCCAAAGGGGTAATTCAAGAAGATTTCTCCTTGATCATGGCAGCTGGCAACTTTTCTCCAAGAGGTACCAGGGACGGTTACTTTGTTAATTAATTAATTTAAAATATTTGACCCAGTCTTTCTTCTTAAAAAAGAACCCCAGCTGGCTCACACCCCTAAAAGACAGTATTCAAAGGAAATCAAACCCATCATCATCTTGGAACTGCTGGAAGGAGACCCTGTGGATCATCCAGTCTAGCCCGCACCAAGGTGAATCTAAGTTTTATCCTCTAAACCATCCAGCTATCTAGTATACAAAAGTAGCTTACATCATTAAAAGACAATATTTAATGCTAAAATCAGTGAGTACACACGGACCTAAAAAGGACTGAGCAAAGACCGCAATAAAAGACAGTGATTGGAAGCAATACTAAAAATACATTCAAAGACACAACAATCCATTAAAAAAATAAAATAAAATACTCAGGCAGCCAATCCTTAAGGGAAAGAGAAAGGTCTCTGCCTGCTTGTGGAAGGGAAGCAAAGACGAGGCCAGGCTGGCCTCCAGCTGCCTGCTTGTGGAAGGGAGGCAAAGACGAGGCCAGGCTGGCCTCCAGTGGGAGGGAGTTCCACAACGAGCACCAGATCTGACTCCTTGAAATAAGAATTGCAAAGATGGGGCCAGCCTGATTCAAACTGTTTAGGGCTTTGAAGGTTAAAGAGGAAAAGAAGCGCAGAAGGGGGAGCGACAGGGTCGACACTGCAGATTGATAACACCGTCCCAGCTATGAGCGCCACGAGACCTCTGGCTGCTTTTAAGTAGGACCAAAACTGATGTTTTGAAATGAATGGGGCTCCAGGTTGGTACAAGGGTGTGGTAGATGCCACCTGGATCAGGAAGCCCGATCTGTCACGCGGGAGGGCGTGACGTGAGCAGGAAAGGAAGGGAGAAGCCACCAAAGGGACTAGAAAAGGTGCAAGGCAGAGGAAGGAGGAAAGGAGCTCGATCCGGGGCCAAAGGCAGTTTGAGAAAGCGAGCTCCGGGGGCCAGCAGAGGAGGCAAATGAAAAAGAAATCCATTTCTGAAGGAAAACAGCCGAGATTCTTTTGGACAGATGAAAGCTGGTAGCAAATAGACCATGTTAAGCCTTTTTAAGCGCTGCGAAGCCCCCCCCCTTTTTTTGAGTCCTGCTGCCAGCGGCGCACGCCGCTGACTCCCTCCGAGAGCTCTGGGAACCAAGTTAAACTTTAGAAATAATTGAAGATGCAATCAATTAATAATAAAGGCCAACATGTGCTCAGATTTGGCAGCCAGAACAAGACAGATTTGCGCTTGCCGGTGGAAAGACAAGCAGGAGGAGACCGGGCTGGTGGAGCGGGGGGGGCAGTCTCATCGCCTGGGAGAAACCAGTGTTCTCCCGGCTGTTGCTCTTCCGCTGCGTGTTGGATCAGACTCCATCATCCCCAGCCTCCTACAGAGGTTGGGGGAAGGCAGACGTGCTCATTGGCAGACTTATCCCCTCCAGGCAGGGGGTTCCCAAAGTTGGATCTACGGATCTATGCGGACTTCGGGACCCAGAAGCCTTCCCCACAAGCCAGGACTTCTGGGAGTTGTAGTCCAAGAACCTCTGGGGACCTGAGGTTGGGAAACAGCTGCTCGAGATGGCAACGGTCTCCATTTCCCGACTGGGGTGGGGTGGGGGGCAGGCCGGACATGGTGCGCTTGCCTGAGCCAGTGCCTCTTGCTAGTGTTGGTGTGGCAGCAGATGGCATCGTACTGGTCTGCCAGCCACACGATGAGGATGATGTAGAAGGCAGTGGTGGTGTCGTTGAAGAACTCTGACATGATCGCCTCCATGCCTGCCGGGAAGAGAGGAAAGGCGGTCAAGGAGCGGCACAGAGGCCTCCGGCGAGCACACTGAGGCCAAAGGAAGGGCGGAGAAAGTAAAAAAACACATTTATTTGAGCCCCACAATTCCCCCAAATCCCGTGGTCAAGCAGTTGCATGAGAGAAAGGAAATCTGAGAAGCCCTGCATTCATTTTTTTTTAAATTATAAAAGAGACTTCCTCTAGTGTTAATTGTCAGGAAATGTGTAATAATAACAATCCTGGGATGGCAGAGCTGGAAAGGGACCCTAGAGATCAATCAAGTCCAGCCCTTGTCAAGGAGGCTCAGGGGGGATTTGAACTCCCAACCTCCAGCTCCACAGGCAGAGACTTCAACCTCCGAGCTACCCAGCATTCTAGAAATAGTCACGCATCCGGCAGGACATTCTTGAAATGCCCAAAACCGTTCAGGGTACTGTTGGTTTTTTTGCTTTCCTCCCAAAGAATCAGAGCCATCTAATCCTGGGCTCAGATTTGGGAGATCAGGATTCGAACCCTTACCCACGAGAGCCAAGATGACCGTCATCAAAGGGGCAGCCGGGAAAGCGATGGTCATATTCATCTCCAGCATCTGCAGCAGGTCCACTGAGGGGAGAGAAACGCCCAGCTGGATTGATCCCAAGGCTGCTCTAAAGGTCCTACCCCACGTCAGCCAAAGTCCCAATGGGATGCCCCCCAAAAGAGAGGAATCAGTGCTGCAGCGAACTACATCTCCCACCATCCTTGACCATGAGCTGCGGGAGACGGGAGGTGTAGTCTAACCCTCTCCGAAAGCTCATGCCAAGAAGCCCTTTTTAAAAACCACCACCACCAGCAGCTGTAGGCTGGAAAATTTCAGCAACATGAGCTATGGAGCCATTAAGTGGGACTCCTTTTTTGAAAAAGCTCAACGCTCTATTGATGGGCGCTTGCCGGTTCCTTTAATTTTCGCTGCCGGCAGCATCCCGCTTGCGGTTTGGCTGTTTCAGCTCAAATCCTGAGCTTGTTCAGAGCCCGCCCACCCGCCTGAAAAGCTGGCAGGAGCTACGAAAACTTACCGATGAAGACAAAGATCTGGTGGTGTGAATAGCGCAACAACATGGACACTGAGAGGGTCTGGAAAAGAGGACAGTGGATTAGCTCGAAGGGCAGGGGCAGGTTCTCCCACTCTGCGGGTAAGAGGGTGGCCACTGACCGCCGAGAAACATCCATCGTTTTGTCCCGGATTAAGATGGAAGGCAGGGTTCACCGAGACTCTCCCCGAGGGTGGCCTTCAGAGCCAGGAAAGGGTGGGGGAATCCACCCGGAGAATCGGCAAATGTGTAAAGAAGCAAGCAGGGACACTTACAAAAATCACCATGATGACAAAGGCTGCCAGGTAGGAGGTCCGAGCCATCCACATGCTGATGAAGCGGTAGTGCTCTCCGGAGACGACGTTGCGGAGGAAACCTGAGGAAGGAAAAGGGACAGGAGAGAAAAGCTTTCAGCGGTATATCCTTCTGAAGAGGCATCAGAAGGTCAAACAAAGATGAAACCCAGAATACTACGGGGATAAGTGCAACAGCCCTTGTGAAACACTACTTGACTGGACCACATTTAAACAGACAGGCAGGAATGAGGGAAAAACAATTTCTTTTGTTTTTCAGAAACGTTTAGGCGTAGGTGTGTTATTGATGCCAGCAGAGGAGAGGGGCGGCTTACTGATGTGCCACCCAAAGCCTATGGTTTGTGAAAATACCACCGCATGATTTCCAAAGCCCAGGAGCTTAAAGGTTGGAACTTTTCCAAAAAACCTAGGGCCATCTTCCAGAGCTGAGGGCTCGGATTCATCCCAACCATATAACGGAGGAACAAAGAACCAGGTTGCCTCTGGCTCCTCATTCCAGTCGCCACCCTTTTTTCATTTCCCTACCTTTATTCTCCTCGTTCTCCGCCAAGGCCTTCACGCTGGACATGAGGATGTCGTCGTAGCCAAGGAATTCATCCAGCAAAAGGCGGCTGAACCGGTCCCCAAAGCACTGGTCTCGGGTGGGATCTGGTAGGAGAAAAAAGAATCAACACGCGAGGGCCACCAAACCACTGATGACTCCGGTTTCGGAGGGGGGGGAGTGGCAAATCCATTCCAGGTTTTGGATTGCCCTTTTTATGACCTATCCATGGTGCTGAACCAGAACTGCTGTTTGGGAAGGATAAGAGAAACAGCAGTCCAACCACGCTGGGAGGGCTACTCCAGGCTCACCCCTCGATCTAAAGTCTTGGGATTGAAAATGGACCCATCGCTGTCCCCGAACCGCTCCAAACCTCCATCAACCATCACTATCTTTTTTTTTTAAAAAATTCTATGCAGGTTTGTGTGTATGCCGGTTTTCATGTATTCGTTCCTTTTCTGTTTATTTACTCGTAACCACCCCGGTGGGTTGTCCGCTGTCATACAAACGTGCTTTTAATCTTTTTTTTTAAATTTCAACTTAATGGGATTTTTAAACTGGTTGCTCACTCAGTCCTGCTTCTGTATCACAGCTCGTTTCATGGTGTCTGATTATAAAACCTTACCACGTTTCTATCTGGACCCGTTTTTTTAATCGTATTGTGAGCCACCTCAGTTTCCAGTTTGGGACAAAAAGAGGATTTTCAAAACCAACCAAATACCACCAGATATATTGTGAATAGGCTCACAAACGTTGAGATTCTTTTCAGTCCGGTAGCACCTCCCTCATTCGCTAAGATTTTAGCTAAAAAAACCCACCACTGCCAAGTAAACGGGCCCACTAGAAGTTCACCAACATTCACAAATTTCATTTAAACACGCCTGCACTCCTTTGTGAGTTCGCTATTAGGATCCAGGGTGAATCGTATTTTAAAAAGGATCAGTAACCCCCTTTCCCCATCTCACGAGCAGGCTCAGAGGGCCCAGCCAGCAGCTGCCATGCTCAGCTGGAGGAGGAACCCCGGCGGTATGGCGAAACAAAGCTTTTTTACCAAGCGTCACCACCATGACGGGGATACGAAGCCGCTGGCGGGTGCTTTGGGATAAGCGCAGAAATCCATATTCGAAAGAATACTCCACAATGTACTCTTCTTGGGGCCAGACTGGAAGAGAAAAAGCAGGGGGAAAGTTGGGTTTCTAAAGGCCGGCAGGAGGGAAACAAGACGCCTTCCCCCTTTCATGATGTTTCAAGAGGCATCATGTTATTGGCAGAATAAAGGTTATGCGAAGCGATTAATCTGAATAACAACAACAACAATAAAGCAAGGAAGCACCCAACAGTAAACCTAGTCTATTTTTTTAAACTGCAAACAAAACCGCCTGATGGTATAGCATGTTGAACTGGCCTGTTTCTAACCTCAGGGGCTGGACTCCGAGTCCCATCACCCCCCAGCCCTTGCAGACAAGCACGATGGGGTTTGTGGTCCACCACGATCGGCTTGGTGAAAGAGGCTGCTGAACAAACATTGACACACACACACATCCGTTTCGTCCACAAGCTTCTGGATGGTGGATGAAACCCGGGACCCACACTCAAAAGATCAGTGGTTCCCAGCCTGCGGTCCCCAGGTCTTCTTGGACTACAACTCCCAGAAGCCTTTGCTACTAGCTGTACTGGCTAGGATATCTGGGAGTTGTAGTCTAAGAACATCTGGGGAATTCAAGACTGGGAACAACTCATTTTATGAGTCTTCCGCTTCCAAGCCTTCTTGAACGACAACTCCTGAAATTCAAGAAATGAATACATGATAGAATTTTTAGCTAAGACAGCAAACGCCCAGTGCTTCCGTGAACGGCTGCCCAGATAGTGCGAGGGCTTTTAACGTCACACCCTGCTTGGCAGCTTCCCGAGACTGCAGCTGGCTGGGTCCTGCTGGAGACAGGATGCTGGGTTACAGAGTCCCTTTCCTCTAACCCAGAAAGGCAGGTGCTTGTGACAGAAAGCGGCTTCTCTTCCCATTCTCCAGGGTGAACCCTCAGGAGACGAGCAACCTGGCAAACAGGTATTTTGGGAACGCAGTGCAGAAAGGTAAAGTACCGGGCTGGAGCAACCCCCTTATCGGGTCCTTCAGCTCGAAGCTACGCTTTCTGCTCAAAGCAAAGAAGCAAGTCTCTAGTCCTTGCGGCCCTCCTGAGAGGCCCATTTCAGACAGGAGTGAAATGTTTCGAGTTGATGAGAGACAGGACAGCTCAGGGGTTGAAGTCTCTGGCTGCAGAGCCAGAGGTCAGGAGTTTTAATCCCCCACTGGGCCTCCTGGACAGGGACTCAACTTGATGATCTTTAAGGGTCCCTTCCAGCTCTGCCATTTTTAAGATAACGGTGATTAGGAGAAGACTCAGGTTGAAGCTTCTCATGGAGATGGTCCTTTGATTTCAAGTCTGTTCTGTAGATTCTGTTCCGGTTCCACCATGGTTACATCTCCTTGGTTTAACAACACATAAAATGTCACACCGACACACACACGATCAACCAGGAGCAAAATCTGTGCCTCTGGCCCAGGCGAACCAGCAGCTCCCTCCCCTCTGGTGGCGACCTCTCTCTTCGTCCCATCTGGCCACCGTCTGATTCTGCCCCCATGCCCGCCTCACGAAAGCTGGTGGAGAGGAGAAGAAGGGTGGCCACAAGCCCCCCCCTGCCCGAGACGGCACAGTGGACCCCGCTTCCCTTTGCAGGGCCAAAGTTAGGATAAACTGGACAAAAATAGACAAACCAACCATGCTTTGGGGTGGAAAGAGGACAGATGGCTCAGTGCCCCCCCCGAAGTGGAATGGGGTTGGGGGGAGGGAATGAAAGAGGTGAAGGCCGAAGAGCGAGGATGAGAAGCAGGGCAGAAACAGGAGGGAGGAAAAAAATGATGGGGGAAACGGATTTTTTTACCTGCTTTGGCTAGCATCTCAAACTCGGACACCGTTTCGCTGAGGGGCTCCATACCTTTAGAGGCCGGCTCGTCGGGGAAGGGGAACTCCTCGGTAGCATTGGAGACCCGGACTTTGGCCCCGCTCAGCCGGGAGGGCTGGAGAAAGGCTTTCGGCTCGATGTCCAGGTCGAACTGCCAAGAGCAACAGTAAAGATTTGGATTGTTGTTGTTGTTGTTTAAAAAATAAGGACTGTTCATGTATACCACGCCCCCATTGAATGGTTGGCCTCCGACGAGCTCCCCGCAGACTCAAAAGCCCAGGGAAGACCCACTGATTTCACAGGACCTCATGGGAAGGCAAAACATCCCTGGGGGGAAAAGGTAATCCAGCCGGGAAAATGGGGAAAGGCAGCAGGAAGAGAGGAAGACGGAAAGGCGTGATGAACGGACTCCATCAAGGAAGCCATGGGCTGCAAAGGACGGGACATTTTTGAGATCACTCATTCGTGGGGCTGTGATATGGAAGTCTTTCCTCCTTCTACGGTTTGGTTTCTAGCCCCCTGATCCTCCTGGTTGGCCTCCTCTGAACTTGTTCTAGTTTGTCAGCCTCCTTCTTCGACTGGGGTGTCCAGAACTGGAACACAGGACTCTAGAGGACACCTAACCACGGCCAAATAGAGAAGGACTTGTAACTAGGACAGTAAGCACTGATGGGTGAAAGGACCTCCCTGCCGGTTTATTGCACTGACTCACTGGGTTGCGCTTGACAGCAGGGGCCAAGTCAAGAGCTGGATTCAAAAAACTAAGCCCGATTAAGAAGGAAACCAAGCGGGTGAAATCCATAAACTGCCCCAAACATTGACTTCTGTTCACAATATTATAATTATTATTTTTTTTACAAAAGCTTTCATCGATTTTCAAAAGCCCTTCCTGGAATTTTGTGCATGCTGGCTCACACATGGCACGAAGACTCAGCCAATTCTCTGTTTTTTAAAAGTTTTTCAACAAGGTGGCCACGTGAGGCGGCTGGGAAGCCAATGGCAAAATAAATAAATAAACAAAGAATAAATAAATAAATAAATAAATAAATAAATAAAAGGGGTATCTTAAAGGCTAGCAGAAATAATTCATCCCCATTTCCGAAGAAGCACCTGCTTTCGGGCATCAGGAAAATTAAAGTGGAAAGGAACGAGAGCATCATTTAAAAGGTAGAATATATTTTTAAGGGCTTTAAAAAATATTTTTTTAAAGTCCTTAAAAATAATAATACATTTCTCTTGGTGTGGGCCTTTCATGGATCAAAATCTACTGATCTCCAGCTAAAGATTTCCAGATGACCCTTTTAAAGGGTGTCTGATGGTGTTTTAAAGAGCACCTTTATTCTAGCCTTATTTTCTTAGCTGGATGGCCGGATAACTCAGAGGTTCAGGTCTCCGGTGGTGGAGCTCGAGGTTGCGAGTTCGAATCCTCACAAGAGCAGAGCCAGCCTGGATGGCCTTGGGCAAGCGGCACCATCCTACGGCGCCCCTAGAGGAAGGGAAAGGTAATGCCCTTCTGAGTGCTCTCTATCTGGGAAATCCACAAACGGGTCGCCTTTCATCAGAATTGACTTGATGGCATGTGATTAATGTTATTCATATTTTTAGGCAATACAGTCGAGAATTCCCCGTTCGAGAAAAGCAGCCAAGAAAGAAACCAAGGTTAGAAAACATCCTTTCCTTTCTCTCATCCTTGTCCCAGCCGTTACCTTGATGGAGCTGTTTTCAAACATCTCCACGCTCATCTCCTCCTCTTCTTCCTCCTCCTCCTCCTCCTCTCCGGCGACCGGCTCGACGACCATGCCGGGAAACCGGTCGCTCTCGCAGAACTGGAGGAAGATGGGGGCGCGGCTGGAGTTGCGTTGGATTTCCACCCGCAGGATGCCGTCCCGGGGCCACTTGTCCCGCACGTGCTCCAGGCAGTTGATGGGCGAGCGGGAGAAGGCGATGTGGATGTAGGCCAGGATAAAAAGGACAAAGAGCGCCTGCAGGGGAAAGAAGGGGATGAGGGGGAAGCGGAAGGCAGCAGGGAGAGAGGAGGGTTGGATGGTGAAAGGGAGTCACAACCTTAAATAGCTCAGCCGTTGAGGTCTCTGGCTGCGGAGCCAGAGGTAAAGAGTTCGAATCCCCCCACGGGGACTCCTTGACAGGGGCTGGACTGGATGATCTTTAGGGGTCCCTTCCAGCACTGCCTTTCTAAGATGAGGATAAAGTGCTGGACAGCTCAGTGGTTTCGAGGATGAGAGTTCGATTCTCCCACTGGGCCTCCTGGAAAGGGACTGGGCTTCCCAGATCCAGAGAGTCCCTTCCAGCTCTGTAATTCTAAAATAATAATAATAATAATCACAAATTTGCAAAACCAAAGGCAGGTCTTCCATGATGAATGGGAGGGAGAGGGGGTTGATTAATTTGTAGGGCTTGACCTAAGCACAAAGCGTAGTCCTGCCACCCTCACAGTTATGTTTGGTGGGGACACAGGGGATGGCCTTCTCTGTGGCTGCTCCCAGACTCTGCAACTCCCTCCCACTGGAGGCCAACTTGGCCCCGTCTTTGCAGTTCTTCTTTCAAGGAGTCAGATCTGGTGCTCTAGGACTCTGGAACTCACTGCCACTGGAGGCCAGCCTGTCCCCGTCTTGGCTCTCCTTCCACAAGCAGGCAAACACCTTTCTCTCCAGGCAAACCTTCCCCCAGTAACTAGCTACCTGTGTGGGGTTATTAAAAGGATGGTTGTGTATTTTCGATGATCCTTATGTTTGTGTGTGTGTTGTTTTTCTTGGTATGGCATTTCCCTGAACTTTTTTAACATTTGTATATTCACTGCTGTTAGCTTTTACATCGTCTTTTTAATGATGCAAGCCCCCTTGGGTCCTTTGAAGGAGAACAGCGGGACAAACATATTTTAAATAAATAAATAAAACAACGTGGATCACTGGTAATAACCACCCCGGAGATAACTCAAAGGCAGAGCATCCAGTTTTCCCCCTACAACAAGGGGATCCTGTTCATGAGTGACAGCCCATACCCATGTTAGCATGCACAAACCACAAAAAACAAAACAAAATAAAAACACCCTAATCTACTCCTGTGAATGTAACTCACAATGACATTCTGTAAGCTGTGCCCGTCACCTCTCACAGTTTTCCTCATCTGCAAAAGGGGGACAATAACGTCCCCCAACGAGAGGAGCAGAAAAGTTTATTTCCTTGAATCACAGCTTCTGAAACATCATGAGAGCAACACTGGCTGGAGCCGAATGACATCACAGGGCGATTAGAAAAATTACAAAAGGAACAGTAACAACCTTTGAACAGTTAGTAAGACCTGCGGAAAATTATGCATTCCTGTGTGAGCTGCTGTTTTTTCTTTTTTCCCAGTGTGATAAAACAACATCTAAGACACATTCTGTCAGTGCGAGCTAAGCCCAGGCCTTTGGATTGTGTTGGACTGCAAAACCCATCCTTCTCATGCCTCAGCTAGGGCTGGGGCGAATGGGAATTGCAGTCCAGCCAAACCTGGAGGGGGTATCCTTCATTCCCTCTGACAGAGAGCTAAAAATAATAATAATTTAGCCCAGAAGCAAAGCGCGGACAGGAATGTGTGAGGTTCAAAGTGGAATCCTAAACACGTAGTCACCCGTGGCGATTCACCATCGTCAACAGGTGACCAAACAGATTTAGAAAAAAATGTTTTTTTAAAGTAGGGTACACTTTGGAGATTGTTCTCCTCTGTACAACAAAGGATGAGGAGGGAAAGTATGTGGTGTTAGAGGCTTCCCTCTTCCCCACAAAAATGGGTCTGGAAGGGCCATCTTCCTTGCCAGACCAGCTGAGCTCCCACGAAATATGTTTGCAGGAACATACAGAAATCGGGACAAACCCCCTCCCCTTCCTGATTACCTTAAGGAGCACAAAGAACTCAAAGATGCGTCGGAAGGATGGTGGGAAAAGGCGAGCGTAGGTGACAGCCATCTTGAAGAAGAGCGCATGAAAGAGTCTATCCCGAACGTTGATCAGGGGGTTCTGGTTGAGGTTGCGGACCCCACGGTTGTTTCCCGCAGAGGGCACACCCCCTACATTATTGTTCATCGGATGATGGTGGTCGTTGGCTTGGTTTTCCGACATCTTGAACCTGGGCGATGAAGTTCTCTTCCCCAAGTGTGGCGTCCCCCACTTCTGGACAAATCTCAGCTTTGCAGGCAGAAGTTTGGTTCAGAGGGATGTCGAGGAAGGATTTCGCTGCGGCTGGAGAAGGCACTTGGGGAAGCGTGGACAGCCACACAAACCAAAGACGTGGCACCCACCAGCGAGGAAAAAATAATGCAATACGCTAGCTTATAAGAGGCAAAAAGAGAGAAGCCAAACGGTCCTTATTTGAAGAAGTTTCAATAACTCTGGAAACATCTGAAGATGAAAAAGAGCATCCACAGAGGGGGGAGGAAACAGATCCTACCCCCTTAAAGCTATGGGGTATGGGTGGAAAGAGGAAACTGAACTCAAATGCCCACACTGAAGATGATTCACAGGGGAAGAGGATAGAAAGTTGGTTTCTGGCTGGAGAAGAATTACTTCAAAAACATACGGGGGGGGGCGGAGGTTTGGGGACTGGTGTTGGCTTAGAGGAGAGAAATCGCCCCACACCAAAAAATGGGTCTAAATCAGGGTTCAATATAGGTTCAGGAGGATCTTCCAAATACCTACGGCTATGGGGTGGTGATGGAAGGAGGCTCAGATGAGTGCCTAGAGGCTGGCTGGCATCCGGTTAGGGTTTAAAGAGAATTAAAAGGAGGGTCGTGGCAGGAAAATCACAAAAAGTGTGGGGAGAAAACTGGTATCACATTAGACTCTATTGGGATGGGGGGGCTAGTTTCAGGGTTTTAAGCCTGATCTTGTGGGGGAACCAACACTTGTATGGTGTCAATATGGGGGAAAGAAGTGTGGGGCGAGGGAGGGGAAAGAAGGGAAGTGGCAAGGTTTTAAAAGGTGACAATTGGGGAGGGGAAGAAGGGGAATGGCTTACACCCCCTAACGTAAAATAGTGGGGTGGTAAAAATATGAGGGTGGGGGTCAATTTGGGGCAGAGCTGTCAGAGTTTGGGGGGAAGCTTTTTATGGGGGGAGGATAGAGGGAAAGGGGTAAACCCCCAAGGCCTCGATTTGGGTGGGGGGAGGAAAGGAGGGGGCAGGGGTCTCAAGGCACGACTCCCCCAAATGAGGAACCCCCCTTTTTAAAGGGG